GTGTGGAGTGGACGGAGCAAGCCCCAGATCCAGCTCCATGATCCAAAAATCCATTTAATATGCAGTCCCCAGATAGGGGACGTATCAGATATTAAACTGATAAGAACAGATACTACACTTGATCTTAGCCAAAAGACCGAGAAGCGATACCTACAAATGGTCAACAGGAGTAACCACATCCTTTGACACAGCAAATTGACAATGGTAAGCTTTTACTTGGCTTTTTTTTTTTTTTAACTCAAATAGTTCTTGTGTAGAGTGCAGTTGTTAATGTAGCTCAGACAAAGCTTAAAGAGTCAACAGGAGGAACCACACATCCTTTAAGACAGTAAATATGACGACGGCAAGCATTTAATTTTTTTTTTTTAAATCCTAAAAGATTCTTGTAAATCTTTATGTTATCAAGATTCCACACTCATATTGCTACTTGTTAATATAATTTAGTTTTTAAAAATTTGTACTTACTTCAACAAAGACTGACAGGACGTACTTGCTCCCCCAATCAGAAACATAGATAAAATTCCAGGAGTATTATACAATGAAGCTATTGTCATCATGAAGGATATCAAATGGAGATGAAAATAAAATAACTTGGGACACGACAGCAGAGGTGAAAATAACGTGAAATAATGGCTTCACAGAAAGGGTCTGACCCCAAGTGGACCAAAAAAGAATTGCAAAAAGCTGCCACCAGCTCAATGCTGACGGAGGTAAAAATAAATCATGTATAAAACATATAAAAAAATAACAACAATACTTAGACGAAATAGCTTTGTACAAAACAACAATTTAACTAAAGAAATTCATGCATCGTGCTTTTTCCTGATGATAAACCACCTACAGGCAAACGCAGTGTCTCCTGAAGTCCTCAACCGTTTTAACACTGTATCAATAAACGTTACAAACATCTCACCTGAAGTTCACTACATGCACACACATAACCACTTTTGCATCTTCGAGTCAGTATATTTAGAAACGTACTCAACTAGCTGTACAAGTTTACCACGCACAACTAGCAAAATGTCATAGGCCTAATTATATTCATCTTCATTCTAATTACATAATTGGAATTGCAGGTAATGTCATCCACCAACCCACCAATTTTGTCAGCTAAAGCAACCGTTAAAACAACACCTCGATGTTATAAAATCATACGTTTTGAGAGTTCAAACAACTTGTCCAATGTTAACTGGATAGCTTTACCCGAATTTAAACTAGCAACATCGAAAAACAACCGAACAAATTGTCGACATCTTCGACAAAACATATCAAATAACATTTTACTTTCGATTCATGTGAAACAAAATTGTTTTAAATTACTCACCTTGCTTTGATCCCGCACTGTATAACACTTGTTGAGCTTAACTACGCAGAACCAAAAACCTCACGCGGACTACCTCATACAAACTCACGTGCGCCCCTTAAAGGTGGGGTAAGCGATTTCTGGTAGCCAACGCTGACATTTGAAATCACCAAAACAAACACGCCCCTACCCCAAAAGGGTCTCGCCCCTATTTTGATAGCTCCGCCCCACACATTCGCACGCAACCCAGGCAACGATTAGCTCTGTGAAACAAAGCAAAACCAATGTTACACCGTGTCTAAACCGGACGCGAGCGGTGCAGCGCGACAAAATACTATAGAACTCATCTCCTACTAGGCGTGTTTCCATTACCCTTCAAATTGCGAATTGAAAATATGCTTAATGGAAAGGTGTCAATTTCGCAAAAACGCCCATATATGCAAAAAAAAATTTACGCTCGCATGAGGTGGTTTTTCAGGCAATGCAAAAAAGGAGAAGCGGCTCTCTGTGCTGCTTCTGTAAAGATACACGCATACGCCTCCTTTGAATAAATATAGCCAAAATCCGTTGCCATGATTTAACGCCGTCATTTCGCAATACATTTTTATGTTTTCAACAGTCGCTTTGTCGCGTCCAGTGTACTAGACAGACTTTAGCTGTTGCGGCGCATGTAGACACGGTGTTACTCACCTATCGAGAAGAAACAAAGCAACCACGGCGTCCGATCGCAGGCCTTCTGCTCCTTGAGTTCTCTCCAGTGCTGGAAA